TGGGCTCTCTTTGACAGACCGTGTGAAGGACGTTTTGAACAATGTGACCTTGTTGGCCTGCTCCGAGCAGGGCCACGATTTGTGCAGGCTCACACGCCAGCAGATTCGTGCATCAGTGCAAGGTTGGTGGGTAGATGTCAGCCAGTGCATCACACGTCGGGCTCGAGCACGCCCCGGCGAGCCGCTCCCCACGCTGACGACAGCTACAGAACTATACAGTTTCACAGACGACCGCGTCATCTTGGGATGTGAACTCTTGAGCATGCACGGACATGCGGCCAGCTTGCGCATTCCACCTAGTGTTTCCGACAGCACAGTCAAAGACCTCGCGGGCGAGGGGATCGCCCTCCCCTCCCTCGGGAGCGTCCTCTGGTGCTTATTCCTGTGCAAGCGCTTCCCAAAAGTGAGAAGGGAAGCTTTGTTGGTGGAGTCTCAGTCCCAGCCTTCTCTGGAAGTTTTGGACTAATTAATTGGCTAGGGCCAGGGCTGGGGCGGCCACGGATACGGCACGATGTACCCCGGATCAGATTCCAGTATTTCAGTCTACAATCTACAAGCTTAATTTGATTTCATGGTTCCATGTACAATGTACAGTATCAGTATACTGGCTCTGACAGTGGATAATTGGCGGCCATTTATACATGTCCTTCCGCCAAGTGCTGGTTCGTGGTCCTGGTTGGTACGTCCGTGTGTTAGTTGCTGGTACTTGCAAGGATACAACTGTATCACTGTATGCCAATGTATGCCACGGTGTAGGGCCTAAGACCTGTTAGCAAAGGGGTTCAAGCAGTTCATAGTGGGTTCTGGGTTGTGGCAGTTGGTTTATATTCGAATTCTACATGCTACATTCTACGCTTATACTTACTATGAGCCTTCAAGTGGTCACCCTAGTCATTCCCCGGCTACTCTAGTTACTCTAGTTATCTAGTTACTAGTGATAGTTTACTTTTACTTTACGTGCCCGTGGAAACTCCGAGTAGGTCAAGTCCGCCCAGCTGCTGTTGCACTGCGCAGTGTATGTAGTGACAATGTAGTGACTACAATGTAGTGTATGTAGTGTATGTCGCAGTGTATGTCGTATGTATATACAATGTCTGCATGTCGTATGTCCATGTATGTCTATCTTGGACAATGTAGTGTACAATGTACAATCTCTCTAGTGGCCTAGGGGCCTAGAGATGCGAGACACTGCGCTGAAGACTGCGCGTCACTGCAACGGTAGCTGCAGCTCTGTTGTCAGCTGAGTAGAGTAGCCGCTGCCGAGTAGCCGCTGCATCACAGACTTTATTCAAGGAGGCTCCGTAGTGAAGTGTGTAGCGGCAAGCGGGTAGCGCTGGTGTGGTCTGTGCCACGCTGGATTCCACACTTCAGACTGCATGGAATTGCAGTGGGAGCAGCATGTGCGTGGGTTACCGTGGGTTTATTTCTAGATTCTACTAGCGGGCCTAGCAGGGCCTAGCAGGCCCAGCAAATCGTGTTGCGAAAGTTGTGCACTTGCTGACCCTGTGCAGCCTCCTGCTGAGCCTCACCGGCACAGTGTCCGTTAGAGCAGAAGGCGCATCCTCTGCCATGTTCAAAGTGTACAGTGCTCTGCGCAACTACCGCAACCACTTACCCAGGTACTGGTGCCTGAAACAGCCTGGAAGTTCATGCCAGGGGTGGCGTAGTAGCAGCCTTCTTTTTCTTGGATGCGTAGTTCGAGCTGGCGACCTTAATCCTGTGTTGTGTGGAGTCAGTGAGTCAGTGTTCAGTGTGTTGCGGCAACAATTGCATTGACCATGAGTGGCGAGCAGCTAGCAGCAGCTAGGAAGCTTCCTTCATGCCGTGCATTTGGATGCATGTTTCTTTTCTCTCAAAGAGCCTTGCTTGAAGCGTGCCCTGACGTAGGTTGCTGGTCTAGTGAGTGGCCTGGCCTAGTGACCNNCCTGGCAGAATGGTGGCTTTTTCGAGAATGGCCATGAAGGACGCTGCTGTTTGTCACTTGTCAGTAGCTGCTCCAGTGTCAGCCTGCCTGGTTAGTGAAGGTGAAGAGTGAAGTGAAGATCGTTTAAAGTTTAAAGTTACGTAGAGTCCAGAGTATTGCGAGCATCGATCCTCAATCACATAATCACAGTCGTCGTAGTCATAGTGCATGCTTGCTGCAGGAGGCTCCTGGAGTGCCAGCGAAGGGCAGGGGCAGGGGAGTCGCAAAGGCGGCTGTTGCCAAGCCAGCTGCGAAGGCAGCAGTGGGCAGAGCTGGTGCTGCCGCAGTGAAGCGGGAGGCTCCCGAGAGCGTGAAGGCTTCCGTGAAGGCAGAGGCTCCGCAGCAGGCTGGCCGAGGTACAAAGCGAGACCGTGAAGAGCAGAGTCTCCCGAGTCTCGTCAAGGGGAGGTGGATGGTGCGGTGTGTGCCGTCTGTGGTGAAACCCTGGGTGAGGAAGTGGAAGGAGGGGTCCGGCCGGCTGGCAAGGACGCGACAGGGGTCGAGGTGACGGATGGTTGCCAAAACTGCGTTGCCACCCTCAAGGATGGATGGCCAGGGTGGGCATGGTCTCAGTGCAAGCAGTCGTGCCTCTGTTGCATATGGATACCCGTGGAAAGTTAAAATGTTAAAACTTGCCGATCCTGGTTCTCTGCGGCGAACCATGAACTGCCATGAACCATTGTTGCCATTGTTACTGTTGCAGTGATACAAATCAATTGTAGCAGGCTGTAGCAGTAGTACCTTACAATGCTTACAATGACACTTACACTTACGCCTTACGCCTTACGCCACTACTTACTAGTTAATGTAGCTGCGTAGCCGTAGTGTAGTAAGTGTCATAGTAAGTATGCGCCCCATTGAGCAATCAACTTAATAAGCCAATAAGCTCCTCTTGTTGTGTCTCCTAGCGAAAGCCTGACCCCTGGGCCCGAGCCCTGCAATGCTTACGACTTACGACTGACGAGCTTTCGTAGAAGTTCCAAAGCCCATGCTTTTCACTGTGCAAGTAGCCCTGCAGTCCGCCCTGGAGGACTGTAGGACTGTAGGCACTGTAGGCTGTAGGCCTGTAGGCGCTGTAGGCACTGTAGGCCTGACATATAGCCCTGTCGCTCATTTGTGGTCAGTCCTGAGATTTTACGCCCGGGTTTCACAGCTTTTTCCAGCGTCAGGTGCGAGGAGGGCGGTGGCTTTCTTCGAACCTTCGACATGGCGCGACGCATTCGTCTTGGTGAGCGAGAGAGCAGCTTTAAGCCAAGCGTTGTCAGGGATGTGGAGCAGCGTGGCAGTATGGTCTTCATCGATGTCGCGCTCCTCACCGAGAAAGAAATGCAGGACTTCCTAGCCAGCCGCCCAAAGAGCACCAGGGCTTTGAAAATGGAGGCAACGACTTTGCCTGGGCAAACAGGCAAAGAACAGTCAATGTACGTCCTGAGCCTGGACGGACTCACCTGCAGCGAAATCCATGCGCAGCGTCGGATGCGCATCTACACTTCCTTGTTCTTGGCACAGGAGGACCTCCTTGTGCAAGCAACCAAAGTACTGCATGCTGCCCACGCCAGCAACGTGTTCCAATCGAACTGGGAGAAGTTGGTAGGCAAGCAGCCGGCCGGGCTGCGTGACACAACTGGCTTTCGCATCATCCCTTCTAAGGCCAAGCTCTTGGAGAAGGCTGACGAGCTGGCCGTAGCTTCGGAGCTACGTGGAGCAACTGTGCTTTCCACCGCACAGAACGAGGTGACGCTGATCGAGGACGAGCCCGCGAACAACCTTTCCCGACGGCTCACCCCGAAGGACAAGAAGACTCCAGCAAAGCGTAAGCCTTTCAAAGCACCCCCAACGCCGCCCTGCTCCGAGGGCGGAATTTCCAGGGCGAAGTCCGGTAGCAAGAGGGGCCGTCCGGAGACGGAGCTTGTGGAGGAGGGCCCGCTCGACCCTACAAAGCTTGCCCTCCAG